TTTCAGCCTCTCATTGACTTTTTATAAGATTCCTGAGAGGTGGGGGGGTGGGGGCACAGTATCATTATCCCATTTTAGAGATGGGTAAACTGAGGACCTGAGCCAGCACGGTGACTGCCTGATGCAGAGCTAGAATTTAGATTTCCTAGCTTCCAAGTGAGTGTACTTTCCTCACCATGACATGAGTGCTCTATGTTTAGAGTGTGGGTTCCAGGCCCTAGCTGCCCATTTGGAGCACCTGGGCATCTTCCAAAAAATTCCAGTGCCTGTCTGAATGAATCTTGGGGGTGAGGGGATTAGGGGTGGGGAGCAGAGGTGGGGTGAGTCCTGGGCATCAGTATCTTCTCAGGTTTCCTTTGGAGAACTTGGTGCACCACCAGGGTTGAAAGTCCCTGCCCCAGTGGGGCCAATGTCTTCTGTGCCTGTCTTCTTTCCAGGCCTGGCCCTTAGAAACTGGCCCAATTCGGCCAAACTACCAAGCTGCCTGTGAGATCCTTTGGTGCTCCCCACCCACCAGATGGATGTCACTGTTGTTTTGCTGAGTAACTTCCCCAGGGAGCCGCTGGGGCCCAGATCCAAGAAGCTGAGGTCTCCTGGGGCCCCCTGAGAAGAGGTGTGATCAGGGAGGTGGGGGAGGCAGGAGGCTCTGACAGACAGACAGCAAACAGCTCAAAGAGGTGGCAGGCTGCATTTTATTCATCGTTAATTTAAACACCCTTCAACTCCTGTCTTGGAGTTACTGCTCAGAAAAATAAATGTATTGTTTAAGAAACCCTGCAGGCTCGCCCCGCATGCTCTAACCCCCTCCTGAGAGAACACGGTCGCATAGAAAATGATTTGTAAAGCAAGGGGGAGCTTCCCTAGGGAGGGGAGAGAAGAGGAGGAGGCTGAGAGAGAGGGGAAGGGGGTCTTGGGCCAGGTTAGTACAGAAATCTCATCGCTTCTCAGCACTTAACAAGGTGCCTGAAAGCGCCAGGGCTGCCCCAGGGGCAACAGTCCAAGCCCCGAGTCCATGCTGAGGAGCCTGCCCTGGGTCGAGAATGGTTCCAGCAGCCCTTTCCCCGCCTCCCCTCTGCTCCTCCCCCCCCTCCCCCCCCCCCCCCCCCCGCCCAAATGTGCAGCCTTCAGCCACAACGTGATGAGCTCGCTGTACAACAAATCCTGCAACAGAGAAGCCCCAGTGCCTCTTCTGGACTCAGAAAGGCCCTAAGCAGTCTGTCTGGATGTGCTTTCCAGACAGTGTGCGTGTGGAATTGTGCTTTTTGTTAAGAATGTAAAAAGTTACAGTAAGACGGAACCACCTGGCCCACAGCTCCTGTGGTCTCCACCTCTGTGGGCTTCCACCTGCCTCGGTTCCCAGAAGCTTCTCCTTTGGTTGTGAGGGCTCAGACACCCTCACCTCCAAAGCACACAGGAAGAGGGCATCTGCTCGGAGGCCACAGGGAAGGAGGAGCCTGCTGTAAATTTAGCAGCTATTTTCCAGGGTTTGGCTTGGGTTTGGACGCTGGCTTCTATGTAAAACAAAAATTCAAATTCATGCAAAGTGTACGTGAAACTCCCCCAAGACGGAGAGGAATTTTCCAGGCCCTAGTAGATCTCCAGGGAGTTAAAAATGGGAAGTCTTTCTTCTCAACGTGATCAAGACTGGGGTTTTTCCTTGGGGAAAGGGGCTAGGAGCTCTTTGTAAGGCTGACGTGTGTGTGTGTGTGTGTGTGTGTGTGTGCGCGCGCGTGTGCACGTGTGCGTGCACGCGCATGTAGGTGCATGTGATGCTGTGATGTGTGAAGCTCCTGGGCAAATGCCCAGGACTGTCTGGCATTTTCCACAAGCTGAGGGCATGACACTACCTGTGCCTTCTGATTCCTTCTCCAGGCCCAGAGGCTCTGGCTTCAATCAAAGGACAGAGGAGCCTGACCACCTGGCCTTATTAGCAAGCAAGGACATTAAGAGTGGCTTCTTTATCTGCCTGCTCATCTCTGAGAAGTCCCCACTGCTCACTAAGACCCTGGCCTCTGTGTGGCCACAGTGGGAGGCATGGGCTGCTTAGGGCCCCATAGCCCCAGCCTGGGAGGGGCAAGTAGAGGCTTAGGTGAGGCAGCAACCTGAGGATCCAGGGATCGTTGCAGACTGCTGTGAGCTACCAGCTTTGGGTCAATGTGGAGAGCCCTTCATGGTGGGACAGGTCACAGCATCTAAGCGAACGAGGAGCCCTTTCTTATGGAGCCTGAGGTTCAAAAGAACCCACACCAAAGAAAGAGGTCCCTATCAATGTCATTATTCCTGAAATGATGATAGTTCTGGTTCTCAGTGCTCATCTTCAAGCAGGAAGCCACATAAGTCTAGGTATGGGTCTAGGCTCCATCAATCCCCCTAACTTTGGGAGCCCAGCTTTTCCAGAGAAGCAGCCCCTGGCACTTGGACCACTGAGCCTTCTGGGCCAGAGTGAAGGACAATGACATACTGAATTTGGGTTGGGGACTAGGGGAACATGGGCAAAAATACAAGCATGTCCCCGGATCCTGAACTACCCTTGTATGCTGGAGGGCTGGTGTTGCTCTGGGAGGTTGATGAAAGGGAAGGCTCTCTTCCCTGACCCTGTGAGCCGTGCTTAGGGATCCTTCAGAAGCTTGCTCAAGCTGCTTACAATGGTCTCCTTCCAAAGGCAGAACATAGGAGAAGTGAAAGCAACTAAGGCTGCGGCATGAGCAATTTAGGATAGACTTTAGGAAGCATTCCTGACTGAGAAGACTGCCAAGGAGGGTTTTGAGTTCTCCTCTCTAGGCAAGTCCTGCTCCCTCCTGCGGAGACACGGTTCTGTGCAGTCCTGAGCACTGGTCAGGGGGATAACTTGGACACGTCTTTGGCCTGTCTAGCTCAATGAACCTTGATAGCTAGGTCTTCAGCTTCCTGTGCTGTTGCTGGGGTTCACTTCTGGATTGGCTGCTATTTTGGCTGCTATTAAGTCCTCATGATCTAGATGCCTCATCATGGGGATCTCTTACCCCTTCTGTATGCTTCAGATCCCCAAGTTATTGCTTGTTACCTGGGTGACACCTCTAATTGGTGTCAACTTTCCTTCATTGGGAGGGATAAACATGCCACTTTATTTCTAGGTCCTGTGAGAGGGCCTTGGCCTCGAGCACTTGTGCCTCCGAGTGTGCCGTCACTGCAGTGTGACTGAAGCCATGGCTCAGATGGGGCAGGAGTGGGGTGCTCACCAGCGGGCCTGAGTGATGGTCATGGCAAATCCTCTCTGGAAGCCTGGCTTTAGGATTTAGCAAGACTGACCTTTCTCCTGGCTGTTCTGCGTCATTGGCTTTACCCTCAGATTAGGGTCTGTGTTTAAATCCCAATCCTAATTTGAGTTAGAAATTACCCAAAGGAGCTACAGAATTATTCAGATCCCAATGCATTTTTTCCTTTCTTGCCATGAACTGGAAAGAGAAAGGGGAGGCTGACATTCAAGCATGACTCCTAATGTCGTGTGTGTGTGTGTGTGTGTGTGTGTGTGTTCCAGGCACATATGCCTCCTTGGTGGCCAGGGGAGCAGATCTCACGGCTTTCCATGCCTCTCAGGCGGACAGCGTGAGGCGTCCTGGTGCTTTAGAAATCTTAGAAATAAGACTTCTTATCAGAAGCTGTATATATTGGTGGGTTACACTGTATCTGTGGCATTTGTCCTTGGGACCTTTTTTCAGATGAGGAAAATGGGCTGAAAGAGCATTGTTCATTTACAGTCCAAGACCCCCAGGCTTTCGATGAAGGCAGCATCTGACCCTCCTTCAGTTCAGTGACCTCTAGGCAACAGAGGGTAGAGAACCGGTCCCTCAGTTTAAGGATCATCCCGAGCAAAACTTTAACTCTAATACCGCTTCCATCCACCCATTCCATCAGCTCCCTCCCACCTGCTGTCCGCCACCTCCAATACAGACTGTGCGTGGAGAAAACAAACCCACTTGATTGTCAGTGGGGGCCAAACAGGGTTTAGAATGGGATCTGTCCCCCAAACATTATGGGTGGAGCCAAATTCTCCGACATTTGCAGGATGGCTGCTTTGGGTTCCTGGTGCGGCAGAGCCCTGACTCAGAGAGGAGGAGAAGGGGGTTCTGGAGGGTGCACTCTGCACCCGTAGGCTCTCTAAAAGGGGAAAAATGAACTGCTTCACGTGAATTAAGAAACAAAATCCACACCAACAAAGCAAGACCTTGTCTGAAAAGACTGAGGCGTTCCTGTTAGTAATGAACCGTTCCCAAGGACAATGCTGGTGAAAGAAAGGAGGGTTAGGGGATTCTGAGATGTGCCCAGAGCCTCAAAGATCAGCTGGCTGAAGCAAAGCAGGGCTCCTGCAGCCCGAGGGCTCCCCTCCCTGCGGGTCACCCTGGGTTTCCGGCATTGAAAGTAGCTGCCCTATGTGCTGTGCTAAGTGCACTAACTCCAGGCTGAGAAAGGCCAGCTGAGCCCCTTACCATCCCTATTTCCAAATCTCAGGGAAATGCCACAGTCCGCAAGTTGGTGCTATGTTTCATCTCATTGCATAATACTACACCATTCTACGTGTGTAGCGGCTGTTCTATTTATATACATCGGTAGGCAACATATGGCTCTCCCCACCCCCACCTGTCAAAACTGTGACTACATCACTTCTGACGACCAGAAGGAAGCTGCTAGGCTGGGCCAGGATTCTAAATGCTGCGGAGGTAATTCGGAGCCAGGAGAAGTTGCACCATATGCTTTGGGGTTGCCGGCTGCTTATGTGCATGGGGACGGGGTTCAGTGCCAGTCCGCAAAACCCAGGGATGGCCCTCTCCGGGCTGCGGTACGCACCGGGTGACGGTCTGGGGTGCCACTTTCTCTCTCCCTGGAGGAGAATCTGCTGGGGGCCACAGTTCTTCCAGAGGGGACCCACGAGGAAAACAGGCTCCCCCGAAACCTGCCCTGGATAACATCAGGCCTGGCCAAATAGTATTTATTTAAAAAAAAAAATTTTTTTTTTGGTTTGATTTTATTGGATAAAGATTAAGAAAGCGCCAGCGTCTGAGAAGGAAAGCAAACCACGGCCGGCAGCACGCCAGCCCGCCCAGGGTCCGTGGCGCGGCCGGGCGGTCTACCTGGAGGCGCTGGTCTCCGCCAGCCGGTTGTTCATGATGCCCAGCGCACCCACGCCGCCGGAGAAGCCGTTCTGGCGCGTGTTGACGCACACGCTGCGCGGGTAGCCGTTGGCCGTCTCGGACAGCTGCTTCTGCAGCAGCGCCAGCGACACCTTGTTGGAGGCCGTGAGGTCGCGCATGGAGATGAGCTCGCCCGACAGGCGGCGGCCCTCGGCGTCGCTGTCGCGGGCCGCGGGGTCGGCGCCGAGCGCGGCCAGGCGGCGGCGCAGCCGGGAGCCCGGGGTGATGGCGTTGCGCCGGGCCAGGGGCGCGCCGGGCGCCGGGCAGCAGCGCGCGCAGCAGCGGCAGCTTAGCTTGCGCAGCATCCAGTTGAGCACCTGCTTGATGAGGATGGAGATGACGTTGAAGAGCGAGTAGATGCAGCACACGCCGAGCAGGATGAAGAGGAAGTTGCCCAGGCGGTAGAGCCCCTGGTTCCGGTAGGCGGCGTGCTGGCTGCTCACCAGGTCCCCGAAGCCGATGGTGCTGAAAGTGACGAAGCAGAAGTAGAGTGAATCCACGTAGTCCCAGCCCTCCACGCTGGTGTACATGGCCGAGGCGCAGCACGACAGCAGCACGGCGAACAGGCCCAGGATCAGCAGCACGTGGTACACCGAGGGCTTCCAGCCCGCCAGGCAGTCGGCCTCGGAGAGCGCCGAGCCGCGGCGGAAGGTGGCCGGCAGCAAGCCACTGCGGCGCAGCTGGCGCTCCCTGCAGGCGCGCATGATGAAGGCCAGCAGCGAGATGATGCGCTCCAGGAAGAGGTTGAAGAACAAGATGGTCCCAGCGCAGCCGAACAGCCCGTAGGCAATGAGGAAGGCCTTCCCGCCCACCGTCGCGGGAGTGGTCATGCCGAAACCTGTGGAGACAGGGAAAGGGTCAGCGAGGTCCTGGCTGGGCAGGTGGTGCCTACTGGGCGGGGAGGCGGGCCTACACAGGTGTGGATGTGGCTTCTACCCTGAGTGGCATCAGGGAAAACCGTACTTAAACATTTCTCTCCCTTGTCGGCACTTGGCGTGGTTCCTGATGCGGACAACGCTGGAAACTGAGGGCAGAGACATGGCTCCTCGTCTTGGGGGGGGGTCTGTAGATCAAGATGGGTGGGGCAGGATGGTCGCTAGGAAGGACCCTTCTAAAGACACGTGAAACGAAACCACTGCACGGGTGCAAACCACTGATAAACCTGCAAAGCCTACAAAAGAGATATCACCTTCTCTCTCACCCCTCAAATTTTTTTTTTTTTTATGTAACCAATGGCACACGTGGACCTCCTTAGGACAGAATTCCATAAAGGCTTCATTTGATCTGGGATTACTAGGGACCAGGTAGACTGTGTTCAGTCCAGGTAGCTATGTGTGATGGTCCTTGGAAAGGGGTTTATGAAACTGACAAAAAGATTAAGAATGAGTCCACAACCTTCAGGGAGTGAGCAGGCTCTGCCCTGGGTGTCAGTTCTTTCTCACCCAAGCACCACCATCACCCTTGCTCAGACTTGGGGCCAAGGGGAAGGTTGTGGCCCGGCGGGGTCCTGTGCTGCTGTGTGTCTGGGGTCACTTTTGTCCTGGGAGGTCTGCTCTGTGCCTGGGCAGCTATTTATTGCTTTTAGCATAATTAAGCCTTAATGTATCTGCGTGTTCAAAGCACAGTCTTTAAAGGAGATTCTTTATCATTTGATTTCTGCAGAAGGCTTGGCTTCCCACCCGTGTGCTCTGCCCCCGCCATCTTGGGCAGCTCTGCCCCTCCCACCTTGCTCTCAGCCTGCTGCGGGCTGTGGGCTCTCTGCGGGACCCATAACCCACTCTGGTTACAGAAGGGGCTTTAATTTCTTCACACAAAGATTCACTGCTGCTCGGAGTCTATGATGGAAATAGGTCATCTGTCCGAGCAGCACCATGTCACCTTTCACACCTCTGCAGCAAAAGTTCAGGGGCATCCCTGTTACATTTAGGCCTCACGACAGAGGGGCTACCTGTGTGCTGCCAGTGGGGTGAAGCCAGCCCTAAGAACTGGGTTGAGAAGACTTTTGTCTCACTTGGTTTACTATTTCCTTAAAAAAAAGCCAGAGGGGCGAAATTTTTTTTTCAGTAATTCCTTAAGCTTCTATGCTAATTATTCTTTAGATTCCCTGGAGGAAATCTCAATTGCCTGACCACAATCTTCTTCTTAAGCTTAAGCTTAATGACTTAATTTTGGAGAAAAGCTTATGACAAGATCCATGTTGAGGAAGATGGATTATATCCTTAGATTTGGATTTTGGCCACAAGAGAGTGGGAAAAAAATTACTAGTAGTGTAAGCAATTTAAGAGAGGGATTTTTCCACACTTCAAAGCCAAATCTGAGTTCTTGAATTCATCAAGAAATCACCTTTAAATCTATATGATTATATGTGGAATGAGCGTATTTGTATGTGTGTGTGTGCATGCACACTTGTTTGCATGTGCGCATTTATATAAAATCCTAGATTGATAACCCAATTGTCCACAACTAAGTTAGTCTATTCCTACTAGGAAATGCTCTATAGCAATAAGAAAGCATGAACCACAGCTACTTGCAATAATATGAATGAATCTCACAAAAATGTTAAAGAAGCTGAACCCAGAATGGATTCTGTATTATTCCATTTATAAAAAATTCAAAATCAGGCAAAACCAAACTATAGTAGTTTTTTTAGGGATGCATCTTTGGTTGGTAAAATTATAAGAAAAATCAAGAAAGTTATTTTAATAAAAGTCAGAATTGGGGTTTCCTCTGGGGATGGCAGGGGGTAATAAACAGGAGGGGACACAAAGCCTCTGGGGTGCCGGAAATGTTCTGTTAATCTGGGTAATGGTTACACAGGTTTTGTATAATTGTCTAACTGTGTGCTTTGTGACTTTATTTGGTACTCTTATGATAAGAAAAACTTTTTTAAAAAGTGCTATGGGACACCTGGGTGGCTCAGTCAGTTGAGCATCTGACTTCAGCTCAGGTCATGATCTCACAGCTTGTGAGTTCAGCTGCCACATCAGGCTCTGTGTTGACAGCTCAGAGCCCGGAGCCTGCTTTGGATTCTGCATCTCCATCTCTCTCTGCCTCACCCCCACTTGTGCTCTGTCTCTATGTCTCTCTCTCAAAAATAAATAAATATAAAAAAATTTTTAAGAAACCTGCTAGACTGTTAACTGTAAGGGACCTTAATTCTGATTTCTCACTGTACAAGTGAGGGAGCAGAGGCAGAGGGGACATGACCTATAGCTTGTTGAGGACAGATACCTTACACGTGTGCTGGCTTCTAGCCTGGTGCTTAGACATTCTACCCGACACTGCTTCTACACATTGAGGAAAAACAGCACCTCTAATAGGGGATCACTTTGCTAGATTCCTGAAGAAGTGGAAAGTCCTGAGCCTGGAAAATTAATTTGCCTGAGATACTATTGAATGGGATTTTCCTAATCTTTAGGATTTTTAGCTGAAGTCTCAAAGCTAAGAATGACACATAGCACATTATCCCTTATTGGAAAGAGAGGTTCTAGAGGCATCTATGCTGAATTACTAAACCAAAATAGGTCTGGTGACTAGCACCGCCCAGTCCTGGGCTACATGGAAAGGCTGGAAATTATCCAGGGATAACAGGAGATGGTCATGAAGTAGCAGAGTTGTTGTGGTAGCGGGGGGGCACTGTGTCATCCTCCACCCACTGGGGTTGTGATCAAGAGCACCTTGTCTGCAGCCAGAGGGGAGCTGGCAGCTCACTTCCCAGAGGCTAGCTGACTTGCAGAACCAGGCAGGCCCATCCAGGGCCCCTGGATGGAGCATAGTGAGAATTCTGGGAAAGCCAGAGGTATCTCCTAGAGTCTGAAGCCGAGCTGGAGAGTTCTCTGGGTGGGAGGCTGACTGCAGTGGCCCACACAGACAGAGGTGGGAAGAGGGGAGCAGTCTGCACTTCAGGTGCTTGGTGCATCAAGGATGTGTGAGAGTGACAGAGTCAAGTGGATGTGCAGAAGGCAGCCAGGTCTGAAAATACTCTGCCCAAGAGGGTTGTTGCTGGGTGGAGGGGCCCCTGGCAATAAGAGGCTAAGGGATGGGGTGATGGGGCAGTATTTGAGGTACTCCCAGGAGGTAAGAGGGAGAGGGTACCTCCACTGAGGTAATGGTGCAGGGCAGTGGGCCCTGTGGGTGGTCTCCAAAGACCCATAAATGGGCCCCATGAAAGGGCATGTCTGTTCTAACAGTGGGCAATAGGTAAGAAAGGATTATAGTGGCACCAATGATGTCAGATGGAGCCAACAGACTGCCTCTCCCACACCACAGGCCCCTGAGCTGAGGGCCAGACCTGGAGCTGGAGGGAGAAGCTGATCTTTGATTAGAAGTGAACTTGAAGACTGGATTTAGAATGGATTTAGATGGACCTGGATATCTGAGAATGAGTTTCAATTTTAAGACTGCTGATACTTAAAAAAAACAAAAACAAAAACAAAGACTAATTGGAAAACTCTAGCATCTCCCTAAGATGTGAAGGGATCCAAAAGAAACTTCCTTTAGACAGCAGATAAAGACACGGTCACTTCCTTGTCAGCGCATTGGATAAACTGGTTCTGCCTGGATTCACTAGCTGCCGCGAAGCCCCGCCCCCAGTGCGAGCCTGCACGCCTTCTTCCCCTAACTGCATCTTGGCCACAGCTGTCGGGGAGGGACGTCCCACTCACCAGACAGGAAACCGTGGGCCAAGGGGTTAGGTCATTGTCAAGGCCCCACAGCACAGAGGGGAAGCTGTGGCTGAAACCCAGGTCTGTTGGTGTCTAACGTTCACGTTCTTTCCACCAACCCCAGGCCGCCTTCTGAGAGCACCGCAGGGCCTCCTTTCCAACTAGAACACCTCATTTCAGTCCTCCAGGGCTGGCAGCCAGGAGAGCACTTTCCCGCAGGGAGGCTGGCTGACCCTCGGTCATGATTCCTGTCCCCAAGAGTCCTCTGTCCTGTGGCTCTTTTTCCATGGACCATTGCTGGGCAGAGGGGCCACTGCTCCTCCTTTATTATTATTTTTTTAATGTTTTATTTATTTCTGAGAGAGAGATAGACAGCATGAACAGGGGAGGGTCAGAGAGAGAGGGAGATACAGAATCTGAGACAGGCTCCAGGCTCTGAGCTGTCAGCACAGAGCCCGACACAGGGCTCGAACCCACGAACTGTGAGATAAGGACCTGCGCTGAAGTCGGACGCTTAACCGACTGAGCCACCCAGGTGCCCCTCACTGCTCTTCCTTTAAGGTTCCCACAGAGGTGGGCTCATCCCCTCCCAGCCCCACCCCTCCGTGACTCAGCTAAGGCAAGCTTTAGAACCAGACTGGCCCCAGGGGCTCAGTTAGGGACAGCAGGAGGCATGCCATGAAGAGGGGCCTATACTTTTGGCTAACAGGATGGCTGGTGGCCCACAGGCACGGTGCTCATCTGCCCATTGGGGTCAGCCGACCTACCCCCCTGAGTCAAAGACCAGGCCCTCCACCAGGAGCATCCTCCGATTCCTCCCACCTCCCCCATGTCTGGATTCCTGGCCCCCCTCCAGAGTCTGGGTTTTCTGCTGAAGATTTGTATCTTCCCTCCATGATGGAACCGAGAATGTGACATGTTTCCCACTGGCCATTCTCCCTCCCCAGAAGGGCGTGGCCTTATCCTAGGGCCTCCATAAGGCCACAGGGCTAGATACACCACGGGAAAACGACATTCCCCCTCCCCCCCGCCCCCCCACATCTTCAGAAATGCAGCTTGGCAGGCTTTGTGCTAGGCTCGGGGCTATGGTGGAAAACCGGACAGATGTGGTCCCTGCCCTCAGAGTATCTGGGCTGCTTTCTTAGAGCCTTGGTACTGATCTACTCTTCTGCTC